CAACATCTGAGATCTCTGTCCAGAAGAGTGCAGTCCTAGGAACAGCTAAGATACTGTGCAGGACCCTTAAGCTCCCAGGCCTCTGGTAGAAGACCTGAGCTTGAAGGAAGGAATATAAGACCACCCTGAAGTGGGGGGTGAGTGGGGGATATGTATATATATATATATATATCACAGGATACTGCTTTGTATTCATTTGCACACTGTTCATATGCAGATACTCCATATGTATCTTTGCATTATTTACATCCATTGAACTGTTCACTCATGTAACATATTATTTTCTTATTATTTACATCCATTGAACTGTTCACTCATGTAACATATTATTTTCTTATTATTTACATCCATTGAACTGTTCACTCATGTAACATATTATCTTCTTATTCTGCACTGTTTCCTTCCGTCTCACCCCATTGCACTAGTGTTCCATAAGATTAATTCACCTTATCCATTACTTGTAATTTAAATCCATAAAGACTGTTGTATATTGTATATTATCTTATATATCTTACTGTAAATATCAGTTGTACATATCCATTATCCATAAATTAGTTCTGACCGTTCATACTGTAGATACTGCACACTCTGCACTGCTGTTATTGCACTTCTGGATTTGTTGCCTTGTACTTATACATGGGTAATGGCAATAAAGTTGAATCTAATCTAAATCTAATATATAAACAGTATGTATGTATGAAGTGTAATTTTTATAAGACAGTCCAAGACATTTGGGATTATAGCACATAGGGATGGCTGCAGGTGGGTTGATCAAAGGCTGGGCTCACTTCAGCAAAGATTTTTAAGACAATGGCTCTTGGTATTCTGAATCATCTTATTAGCATTTCATCATCAGGAGCAAAAAGGTTGTCAAGGTTGTTCACATCTATGTCTTCGATCTGCAGTGTCCTCAAGGAGCGCCAGATTAACCATGATTTTGCATTATACAAGTCATATACATTATTTATAGACCCTGTAGCAGTGAGACTCATTTAATCTAACTCAGGAAACCATTAACAGACAAGTGGACAGGAGGTTTTTAGTAAAAGCAGGATAAATGTTTTATTTCAATGAGGTAACTCTGTGATAAGGGTACATACAGCAAGGTATATGGTATAATGAATAATATATAATAGAAAATATAGTGATATGTGTGTTATAATTTATCAGAGGACTGAGCTTTATTGTGCAGTGTCACCACTGACTTTGCTGATAGCCGTGTCTCGCGCTTTAAGTGAATTCTACGCATGGGAGGAATGATGCATAGAAATGAATATATTATGCCGCAAAGAATTTTTTATGTAAATTCAGACATTCATTTAATTCCCATTTTTGCAACTTTTTTTGTATGTAGCAGTCCATAAATCAGCCTCCTGACATTTCTGGCAGCTACCAGGCAGGCTCGGGTGCATTAATTCATCCTTCTTGACTAGAGTGGTGCTGACATTGATATGCATGTAGCTCAGTACATGTATGACATACTGTAATCACAACTGTAACCAAAGCAGGCTAAGGAGGAAAACATACTTTCATGTGGGTTTTGTCTGGATAAAAGATGCGTTAAATGACGAGTGTAAATGAGGACTCAGACCTTTCCAGCCCATTGTTTCCTACTGAAGACACAGTTCTTTAGGCCTTTCCCAGTCCAGTTACCTTCACACTAGCATTATTTTTGATGCAATACATTCATTTGCAGCCTGGACAGCAGCTTTCTTTCTCAGCAGCTCAGCTGGTCTCAGTTGATTACACTTGAACATACATGTTTTGAGTCAAAATAATTTCATTTCAAAGGTCCGCTCACTAATTTTCCTGAGCTTTGAACTGAAATGACAGAAAGATAAACATGAACCCTACCAATGTGGCAACCTTACCTAAAGACCTGAAACATTAGTGCCAGCAATCACACTGTTCTCCAGTAACAACTGATGACCACGGATATTGGATCTTTCCCCACTAGTAGGTCTTTAGATCTCTGTTCATATGGCAGCATTACTTATAATAGGCAATATTTCGATAAATCAAGCACATAATTAAAATCTTATTTTCTTTCCATTCAAAACAGTGGTACTGCCAACATCATATTACTTTATGTAGAGATAGGTTATATATTGAAAGTAAAATAAAACAAGCTTCCCACAATCCTAGAAACAAATTTGCATCCTTTGGTGTATAACCTGCATGAATAGCTGTGCCCTTATTCTGTCTATAGTAGAACATCCAGAAAAATGAATATATTATTTTTAGTAGTCCATTCGGTCAATTTAAGAATGAAATAATTTGGCAGAATAATGTCTTCTAAGCCCTCCTCATGAACAGTAGGACAAAATTACAATCAAAGTGAAAAGATTTAAAATCCAGCTTTATAAAGTAAGTATAACCTAGCAGCCCTACCCTAACTCTAATTCACAGCTAAAATTATGGCTGTGCCCTAAGTGAATTCCCCATTCATTCATACATAATGGTTTACTCTTGAGAACAGAGATTTTAGAAACCTATGAATTATCATCATTTTTCATTATCACTGACAGGTGTAGAGTCACGGGACTCTAATTTACACATGTATAAGATGTGATGCATTGCATTACAGGATAGCATGCAGAAAATATTGTACGTGTTAGTTTAACAGTCTCTCTTAAAGAGTCAAGAATCACCTTTATGCAACTGATGAACTTAGTCTGTCTAAAGTTTGATTGTGTGCTGATCTGGTCTAGCTGCAGTCTGACTGTACCCCAAGACTCCCCTGTTCAAGGCCTACTTGTAATTTCTTATTAGTGGGTCAATCCGAACTGTAATTCAATCTGGCAGTTCTTGGCCTGTTATTGATTTGGTAGTGAGTGCAGATGCTCACACAGTGGACAGGGCTTTGTTTATTCACCCTTTTGCTATTTCTGTTTTTTTCATTTTCACACCCACAGTGACAGGCCATCGGTTAGAGGAGTGGAGTTATCTTCCACTGAGATGGTGTGTGGATAGGCACGGTAATAAGGACATTAAACATCTCTGACTGGAGAGGGGTGACCTTCCTGCCATAAATATGAGCTATGTGTTTTCCTGAGCTTACCAAGATAGTGACGATGAAACACATTCTTCCCGTTCCTATGTATATGAACCAAAACCAAAGGAGGAAGTGCCAGTAACTGAGGCAAACCTTTTAGAGCAATTGCATACACAGCAGCAGATCTCTTATTTAGTCTAGTAAATATGATGTCAGAGGATGGAACTTAAAACAACTGCCTACATATTATTTGGGGTCTTTGAATTCCTGGTGGGAATTGTAGAATTGTCTAGAGCAGAATATACTGAATGTAATGTCATAAACATTCAATCAAAGAGATTCAGCCATATATGACAGATCATATAAAGGAAAACATGGTGTATTGAATAAAGTATGAATATGGGTTGCTAGAAGTAGGTGTGCAATTGAATGATGGCAGGAAATGATGCGACCTACACACACACACACACACAAGAGGCCGGAGCACAAACAGAAGAAACCTGCAAGAAATTAGTTTTTGAAATCCATATTGATTTTAGACAATTTTTTAACTGAATTTGGTTTGAATCTGAGGTTTTGGACTGATGCAGCCATATGTATGACTCCAGTATCTATTTTCCAATACAAATCGGTTAATCTTTACACTACTACCACTTATATTCTGAGCCCAATAATTGTAGTCATGTTTACCACAAATGTAAATTTTGAATATTTTGAGATGAAATTGTCCAACTTTAGGTAATAATACACACATACAGTGCAGTACAGTACACCATCCTCTGTCCTGCATATGATAAACAGAAACTTTTTCATCTTCTGCTTTGTAGGACAGAGCTATATGGTTGGAAGAAGACAAAAGATAACAGACAGCAGAGCAATCGGTTTGGTACAGAGAGGAGCTATTCCCAAGCCTGTTATCTGACAGCCAAGGACTATTCAGGCTGTAACAGTGACAGTTTGAGGTCAGAGCATGTTTCAGCTTGACTCAGTGGCCAGGCAACTGGAGAGCTGCAACGTACCCAAGGGAGTGGCTCATGAATGGCAGGTACCCTAAAAGTAAACAGACTATGGATTCCTCTGACAGCACTTATAAGCATCCTGACATAATGTAAGAGCGTTATTATATTTGGCATGCTTGTTTCATACTGTGTATGCTTATGTTCACACTGATTAAAATGAACCGGACTTTGGGGTCAAGTTTATTTGGATCCAGGCCCGGGTCCCCTAATGTGAAACCATCCTAAGTGGAAAGCAGTACTGTAGAGAAGAAGCCCTCCAAGTACCAGTCTTCAGGTCCAGGACTTACTGCACAAATACAATTCACTTGTTCCTTACCCTCACAAATGACAGGTATGGAAAGAACAAACAACACACTATAGAACATATTATTCTTAGTACCTAACTAGCAGTGGGACCTTCAGTTGAAAGTTTGCTCTGCTAATGCAAAGGCCCACTGGGAAATGACAGTAAAATAAAATAAAAAACTATTCCAGAGGAACATGGTCACCAGTTAAATTCTGAGATATTTTGTATATAAATCTGACATGTGACACCGAGTTTTGAGGAAAAGGAAAGCTCCCTGCATCTCCAAAATGGGAAGAAGGTATACGTCTTCATTCATTTATTCAGAAAAACTAACCACATAATGCCACAGTTCCATAAAAGATTATTAATTTTTCACAGAAATAGTTAAAGGAAAAACCATGGAATCATGAAAAACTAACATGTTCATCCCCTGGGAACCATGAATGTGCTCAGTAAATGCTAAGACAATCTTCACATTTGACATTTGACATCCGAGCAAGGATCATAAGTCAGTTAAATTTAGAGATAGTGCACTCTGGCTGTATTTCTATTCATCTTCCAGTGTTCTGTAAAATTATGTTTGCATATTATAAGCATTTCACAGAGAGTGAAATAAATTTTACTCAGCCTAAAGCATTTCTATATAGAAAAATAAATTATTTAATCTCAGAAGACAGAATAAAGACTGCAGCAGACTTACGTAGGGAGTGCCACTCGTCCTGCCTTATGGTCTTGGTGATGTTGTATGAGAGGTTTTTGGGTATTGTAGCTGAGGAGTAGTGATACTTGATGTAGGAGCACCTTGCAATGGAGCCTGCACAGAAAGACAAGGATTTTTAAAATACAGAAACAACACTGACTCGCAGGTCATTATATAATATCCACCAAGAGCATTTCTAGCATTTGAAAAAATCAGGGGCAAGGTCAAGATGACTTGGGGCTAGAATTTCTTTTGGAGTGAAGTAAGGCGTGGGTTGTTTGTGGAGGTTACATCGACATCTACAGTAAATAAAAATATAACAACATTGTGTATCTCTCTCTCTCTCCTTGTTTTTGTCACTTACTTCCTACAATGACATTCATTTCCCCATGAGGGAGGCAAGTCCCCACAAATATAGAACACGCAAGTGTAGAAAAACAAGCCCCCCCCCCCCCCCACACACACACACAGGTTACTATGCTATATAAAATACATTTTTGCTATTGGATTGTGCACTGTTCACCTTTTCTGTTCTTACTTTTGATTCCGTTCTCTCAGTCTCTGTGCCCTAAAACTGTCCATGGTTGTTGGTGCTAGTGGTAAAAACATGCTGATATTTAAATTTACATACAGTTGTTCCATTAGCCTGCTTATACCATGATGGTACAGTTGATCCATTGCAGTATGAGCATGTCCTGTCTCGTCCTTTATCATTTCTGTCCCTATGGATGTGTCCTTACACTTCCCTGTTGCAGCTGTTCACTGTTCTCCTCCCAGCCTTTTTTTTTTTGCTGTAATTCTGCTCTCTCTACACTCAACTGTTTTTTAAAGGCTGCTGTGATTTTGTGTATGTTTCTTATGATTTCTCTTCTCTTATTTTTCTTATCCTCTGTTGCTGACTGTAACTCTTTTCTCTCTTCATTGATTTTGAAATGATGCTGGCAAAACTCTCTTTCTTCCATCTATTCCCATTATGTATGTATCCTGTCAGCCTTCAATCTTCCACCTATCTTTATTGTAACATATCTTTTATTCTTGTTTTTTGTCTCATGTTTATACTCTCGTTTTGGCAGATTCATTGTTTGTCAATCTTGCTTTATCGTTCTTTCATATCCTACCAGATATATCCTTTCACTTCCATCTTTCCATTTTCCACATCTTTTTTCTCCCTTCCTTTTCATCCATAACTGTAATGTCTGTGACTGTATTCTATGGTTCTGTTTTGGTTTTGATGCTCTTTTCCTTTTCTGGCTGCTGTTAATAAAATTCACAAAGCTTAACATGATGTGTTAAACTAGCAATGTAGACAAAACATAACTTGAACTTGTCACAAGGACAGTTTACAATGATTACATATAAGTACAAGTGCTGCCTAGTGTGGGGTTCTATCTATTGTTTATTTAACATTGTGGTATATTCAAAATAGTCTCAACACTGTTCAGTATGAATGCTTAATTATTTACCTCCATTTTATACTTGAAAAAGCCAAGAAGACTAGATTATTTGTTCGTCCAGGACTTTTCATGACTGTATGTCTCCTTCTACAACTGCTACCCCAGAAATAGCATTATGTGCATTCCTCCTTCATATGCATTGCCAGGTTATTCCCCTGTGCCTCCAATGACTGCGTCTACAGGCACTTAAGTAACCAGGTTACTCAGAGAAAGCAGGTTATGGCAGAACTCAGATAACGTGTTTACAAAACCCCATTATATATGAGCGTCAAGGTAATCTGATCCCCCTATCTATGAGTCCACTAAAAGCGTAAAGGTGTTCAGTGTGCACGGAATTGGAAAGTCTGATGTCATTATGCAACTTTCACTTGTTTTGGAACTGTAACCACACCAAACAGCTTTGGAAAGATGTCATGAACAATATCTCTGACATATTCCTACGGACCTGACAATGTCATCATTGGATATACTTTTTTTGAGAATGAGAGCTGTGACTCCTTTTCTTTGTCACTAACCTCATTGTGGTTCTAACAAAAGACGATACTGTATACATGTTTGTATTTTCATGAAATAATCTTCTCATCTATGAACAAAAAGGCTATACAAACTCTAACATTATTTAACAAATACAAGTTCATTACACACACACATATGTGTGTGTTATATCTGGCATGTTAAATCTATTTATCGTTTTATACAGATTTTCTTTTTTTCTGATGGTTGTTACTTAATCATTAATTGTTCTATAAAACTGAAACATGAACTTGTCTTTTGCTCATGTGCTCTTGTAGAAAGCTGATTAAAAACCTGGTTATATTTATACATGGTAGAGAAAGTGACATTCTCTGGAAGAAATCTACCTGGGGAAACCAGGTTTCCCATTTACATGACAATTAAGAAAACAGCTTACTTGAGAAAGCCACTTGTAACTAGGTTACTTAAGTGCATGCAAGCGCAGTCAGTGATCCACTCTTCTACCAAATCCAACTGTGCCCTTGTTGCAATAAAATTCTTCATTTTTCAGGACCAAAGATATTCAGGGCTATGCTCAAAATATTAGGGGCAGAAGCCCTAATGATCTGAGCTAACAATGCCACTGAGATCCATACTGATTACACCAGAGCAGGACTGAAGGGAACACTAAGATAACATTATTCCAGAGACATAATTCAGCTTTAGTCCTTAAATTATTACCCTGACACTAGTAAATCATTCTTCTTCCATAAAACAATGGCCACTATGCTGTTGTGTGAGACTTATTGTGTCAATGCTGGTGAAACACTTTCACATACATTTCTATTATCTACACACAATAGCTGTCAGAGAAACGATGTGCTCTTTGAAAGCTATTAACTAATCAGTCAAGGGAGCCATTCACTGTGTAATTATAAATGTCTCTGAGAGTTCCCTGGCCTGGTGATGTGTGTGGGATTTCTAGTTGAAATGTTTCATTGACAGTGTAGACCTGAGTCAAGCTGACAATCAGAAATTTGTTTGAAGACATGTTGGGCTACAGAAACACTGAACCACAATGGTGGAAGATGTTTGAACATCTTTTTAATCTTTTTTTTTCTATGGGAGACAACACACTCAAAATGTCAGCTTTTGTTGTCTGGTCAAACACAGCCTACTCTATGTTGATACTTTTACATAAGTCACCTCTTGTGGTCATGAACAGTGACCACAAGTCAGTCAGAACAATGTCTTTCTCAAGTAAAGACAAAAAAACTCTTCACAATAAAGAGAGGAGGTTTGAGGGTGGAGGTCTTAGGGAGATCAGGGTAAATAGTTGTGCACTCAGAATTGTTTGACTGTGACATTCAGATCCTGTCTCTTACCAATAACAAATACTGGTTTTTTTAACCATGACCTTGACCCTTAATGTAGATTTTAGTTGTAGCGTTTAGTTGTTTAGTAGCCAAACCTCACCAAAGTTTTGGCAAATCAGAAAATGCACATATGGAGCATCTTCTAACAACAATACCCTGTTTCTGAGAACATCTCTAAGGTTCATTACAAGCATCCATAAATCCACTTAAAATTCATTCAAAAATGTTTTCCTCAGTAAACATGCAGTAACAGATACCAGTAAATCTATGGGTACATTGCAAACGCGATCTTGTAGATATTTCAGCATACCTTTTGGGTTGCTAATTTACCCAAATGCATACAAATATAGGCTAAACATTGGCAGCTGTCTCACAGGCAGCACTGCCAGACTTTGAAAACACTTGCATAGACAAGTGATGCTATTTCACCAGTAAGCAGATGGAATGAGATTAAGGGCCCGATCTTACAACAAACGCATTATGTGCAGTGCAGTTGGCACCTCTGTGATTCCCACTTTCCTACCTGCGCAATTACCATTTTCATGACATGCACATCAAGTTGCCTTTTTACCAAGCATCAGCCTGTTGACGTCGTACCAGCAGGTGTGTCCAGATAAAAAGGAGGTGTGTCTAGGTAAAATTTGGGCAAACTCGTAATATGAGGATGCACAAAGTGACTGCACTACTGGCCAGCAAAAACCAGGTCTGTGGTCAGCAGTCAAATCATCATCGCTAGTTAATGGGTGCTTTAACTGTGCTGTGATATCTTGGTCCGTGCACAATGCTCGTGTACTGTACTTGTTATACCCTGGGATGTCCAAAACAGGACGCCCAAAAAATAAAGAAAAGATGACATTGTGTTTATACATGTATTTATAATAAATACCATTTAGATTAGTGATCATGCGCCTTCACCTCATCTGCCAAACATTCAGACTCACACATCTCCTAAAAGGGATGCGAGGTTATATACTGACTGGCTAATTGCATGTTACACCCAAAACACACCCCTGCTTTAACGAGGATATCAAGTACAGCCCTTTTGCTACTTGCAGGGGTGCTTGAACTGTTTTTCCTCATCATCAAATTACTGACATGAACATGGACACACCCAAACACCACTTGCCCCATTACATCTCGATCGGACGCTGTAGATCCTCAAAATAGGACCCTACAAATTTATAGCTGTGCTATAAATTCAACAACTTCAGACTGTCAAGTGTTCCCTTTCTTTTTGGACATCTGTGATAGAAATTAGTAGTAATTTGTAGCTGTGTGTTACATTAATGTTGCAGCTGGCAAAGGTGGAACTCATTTTAACTACTTATATGCTGTTTTGATCACTATGTTTGTAATCATTTAAAATGTAATAATTAGAATTTAAATAACATTACATACTGCTGAGTAGCTCAAATAAAGTCTGATGATTATACTTTTTTTGTTTTATTAATCTGACTCTTAAAAAGTAACAAGTAACATCACATACCTGTAGTGGAGTAAAAAGTGCAATATTTGCAGTATCAAGTAGACAAAAAATAAAAATACTCAAGTACAAATACCTCAAAATTATAGTACTTAAGTAAATATATTTTACTTTCTACCACTGAGCTAAATTCTAAGGTCATCTGTCAAACAATCACAATGTTGTTTACAACAACATCCAATAAATGCAAACATACTGGTGTTTACCACATATGTTTATCAAGTTAGTATAGCATTTGCTAATCACATCCCGTACATTTTCTGTAAAGCCTGCCTCCCCACTTCACTAACTGGTTATGTGCTCCCTGTACTCAAACTGACTCCAGTAACTACTCAAGAAATCCAGACT